CATAAGCATTCACGTCGGTGGTCCTGAGAAAAAGGAAACGAGAAAAAGAGTTACAAGAAAGCGGAGAAGGAAATAAGATGGCACCTACCCTGTTGGAAAGTGGCCCGGCAAATTACCTATCCCCCCACCCCTTTATATTTCGCGCCTTTTAAACTTTTAAGTGATATATTTCTCTTCGTCAGGGAATAATAGAAATCAGCGTTGTTTGTTTAAGGTCGAAAAAACAAATTAAAGCAGACGATAGGTTATGCGTCTGTGTTTTGCCACGACGAGTCGAAATAGTTTGAGAGCTTGTCAACTTTATTTATTTTTATAGAATCCTCGACTCCGGTGTTTTCCTGCAAAGTAAGCTAGAAAATAGCTAAGATACGCGCCTTAGAGGCGACATTTTGCTGCTTCTGTGTGTATAATAGGGCGTTGCCAGCAATTTGGTCTCGTCGGGTCTGTCGTAGCTTAGGGTTATTACAATAACCGCAAGAGGCTCAGCTGGTTCTAGTGTCTACGAACTTCCGGTTGCAAATTGAAGCAGACAGCAACCAGTCTACTTTTCAAATCTTCCTGTGTATTCCTATGGGATAACGTACGCGATATTTTTGCAATGAAACTTTGGTTGGGCCTGATTGGCCCCTATCGATTAAAGGATCCCTTTATCTGCAAAACAAAGAAGTGATGTTTCTTGAGGGCTGCGTGTGATGAGTGATATGAACCTTCATCTTGTTGCTTGGGATATATATAGGCGATGGGGAAAGACAGTTCGACGATGTTTCGTGTTTCATTCAGTCAGTTGGAAGTTGGCGCTTGTCCGTGTCGTGCGTGTCTTTTTTCGTCCTGTTCAGTTCGCGCCTTTTAAATTTTTAAGTGATATATTTTTCTTCGCCAGGGGATAATAGAAATAAGAGTAGTTTTTTTACTCGTAACCGGGTCTATGTAGCTTTATTCACATCATAAAAATGTAATTTATTTAGCGAATGTTTTTTTAATTACTGAGCGATGTTTAAGTTTGCAAAAATTGAGGCCCAGGTCGATGTTGTTCAGCATAATATGTCAATAAAATCTATAATTTCAAACAAAAAGAGCAATTAAAAAGTGCGTAGGGTTTGTTTAAGCTGTAAAAGCATATTAGTAATATAGTAATAGCCGTAACAGCATTAATAATCCACTCTGCTCTTCGTTCCCTAACTCCATGCTTCGTTCTTGTCGTCTGTTTGGATTGTTTGATTGTTTGAGGCTGCTGCCAAACGCCGGTCACCTATTGCAAGTCTGCCGAGGCCACGTTCACGTGTGCGTGCTTGTGTTCAGACCATTAAGGACCGCTCACACTCTTGCGACCGAACACGACCGAGAGATTGCGACCGAACACGGCCGAGAGAGGCCGGACCGGTTTTTAAGCCTTTTGTGACTTCTTAGGACCGGTCGCGCTGCAGCGGAGCTGGTCCTAAGAGATCGCAAGAGGCTTAAAAATCGGTCTGGTCTCTCTCGGTCGTACTCGGTCGCAAGAGTGTGAACGGGCCTTTACCGTGTTCCGCGCACCGCACTGCCGAAGCGTTTGAAGCATGCTTTCAAGCGCGCGCCCGGCGGTCACGGTAGACCACCCGGGAGCGCGCTTAAAAACAGGCTTCAGAGGATCCGGTAGTTGCGCGGAACACGGTAACGGTTTGCTAAAAGTCTCTGTCGTCTATATACCCTGCCGTTCCGAAGCGGCCGGAATGAACGTGACGTTCATTCCGGCCGTAGTTTTGAATGGAGCGCCGATTATGGCGGGCTAGAAGCCCACCATATAGCCGACTTGTAACAGTAGTGTTTTTTTTTTCTTTTTTTTCTCAAACTAGCACCCATGGGGCAAGACTAAATGAGAAAGTGCAGTCTACTTCTGATATCTGTGAAAGTGTTATTTTTACTAAACTTTCACGTCAATGAAGTCAAACGTCTGAGTGCTATGCATGCCCTCGCGCACCTTGACTGCCGATAAGAGGTGTGTACACGGACTGTTAACTTCTGAATTGCGTCATATAACTTTTAGCGCAAGTTTAGCCTCAAATATAGTGCACTGCATTTCATTAATACGGACGAAAACACGTGCATGACAATCGGTAGATCAGACTGTTGGAGATTCAGGCGGCAGAAGGAAAAAAAAAAACAATTCTCGAACACCATTTTTTAGACATTTCTGCGAAGATTGCAAGCTCCAGCGCGTAGCATTAATAATAAAAAAAAAATTGGGTTGTGTGTATGTTTATACAGCCTAGAACCTGGTCTGCCTCAACGAGCGACGAGTCTCCCAGCTGCAGATGAGCAATTTAGCCAGCGCAGTACAACCGCTAACCTGGGGTCTTTAACGTGCATCACGCAGTAGTGATATACGACCACGCGCCGGTACGATGCTGATCCAGATCGAAACGGGCAGGGGTGGGGATTGAATTTAGGACTTCTGGGTTCTGCAGTGCGAGCTTTCGCACCGCAGTTTTAGTAAGTATTCTAGTACACTGTATTTCTGGCTGATTCTCCAGGAGCACGAGCATTCGTGCTACCGGAGCGCGATCAAAGACAAAGGGCTCGCGCTCATAGCCTTCTTCGTTTGGCCACGACTCCACAGGGACTGTAGTCGTGGCCAAATTCAGGCAAAAACTTGGTATGATTGTGATTTCAGCAGTGTTCAGCCGGGTTCACACTGCCCATACACCGTACAAAAGACAGTCTGCCAACACGAGTCCCCGCAATACCCGTGGTTCGAATGCCGCGTGGCAAGTTTCCTCCTTGAACTCACAACCATCCGGAATTCCTATACGAAAATGGTCTATGGTCGTCTATGGAAAATTATATGGCAGGCTATTACCTCCTATGGCCCTCTATGGTCGGCCGTAGAGATCCATAAATACAGCTATAACCAGCTATAGGAACATCTATGACCCTTTGTCTAAAGACTGGAAACCATTAAATTTTCTTTGCCCGCCTATAGAAAATTTTATGGCCCTGAGTCTAAAGACCGGGAACCAATAAAATATCTTTACCTGCCTATAGAAAATTCGACGGCCCCGAGTCTAAAGACTAGGAACCAATACATTTTTTACACACCTAGCGGCACTTGCCTTTTTCAAGAAAAACGCTCCAGGTCAGAAAATTAAAGTAATACTAAATTTCTGTAATACCGGTGACAAAGCATTCCCCAAGATATGCTCTCTGCTGTTGCAAGGAGTCGTGAAAACCAGTAATATTGTTTGTTTGAAAAATCCATTGAAATATTTGTGCAACACTTAAAATTAATTATTACCCCAAAAAGTAAAAATAGCTTACACTGGCACCGAGCACTGCAATCAAGCAATAGATGATTGCAATCTTTAGCACCAGTGTACTGCATTTTATCACTGCATTGTCAACATGACTCATCGAACTTATTAAACATATAATTATTAAATATTAGTTAATTAGCCTCATGATCTACATTTGTTTTTTCAGGGTGTTGAATTAAGAGATGGGGGCCACTCCAAGAGACAAATCAAATAATGTATTAGGTACGAGTAATATTTGCTCCGCCTCTCCGTGTTTATGCGACAAATGACGGCAGTCACCGGCGAAGTCGGATTCAAAAATAAGGCTACCATATATAGAGTTAGTGCGAACTTTGCGTACGTGGATAGTCAACGCTAAGTTCGCACTTAGCGTTGTCCATCCACGTACGCAAAGTTCGCACTAACTCTATATATGGTAGCCTTATTTTTGAATCCGACTTCGCCGGTGACTGCCGTCATTTGTCGCATAAACACGGAGAGGCGGAGCAAATATTACTCGTACCTAATACATTATTTGATTTGTCTCTTAAAATGGCCCCCATCTCTTAATTCAACACCCTGAAAAACAAATGATGTAGTACTTTAAGTGTGTGGATGGTTGTTCTGGTTGTGTTTTGAGTGATGTATGTCTATCTACCATGTAACGTTCAAAAATCGAAGGTTCTTAAGAACAAATTTTTTTAGAGTGTGCTGGCTAAAGAGAGCCATAGGAAAACCCAAACAGCCTTCTTTAACTGACCATATAAATGGCTAAAGACACCGAAGGAAAAGCCATAGGCAGCTATAGCATGCTGGCTATTGAGAGCCAGCCATTAGAAAAGCTAAAGAGCGTTATGGGGCTGGACAGTGATAAGGCCATAGATAAAGCTAAAGAGGCCTATAATACCATAAAAAAACGCTAAAGACAGCCATAGAAAATCCGTTAGCTAATTGGGCCAACTGGCTAAAGCCGACCATTCAAAGAATATTTTATAGCCGACCATAGGACATTTTTGTATGGGTTCGAAGCACGGATCTCGCGGTGACTTGCTTTAGATCTGTATTTAGACTGTCTTTTTATGCTGTATAAGCAGTGTGAACCCGGCTTTAGGGAGTACATTGTACTTCAAGTACTACATCAAGTAGGAAGGAGATGAGGAGGAGAAGGGTAACAACAGGAGGGAGAGGTTCCGGAGGAGGAGGAGGGCCATACCATTCCCTCCGTACCCTTTTATCCTCCTCTTTCGCATTGCAGAGATTTGTAAACGTCTTTCATATTTTTTTAAAGACAAGTTAGTAGAAGTTTTGAAGCAGCTGTGCATTGGCGCCGCCATAACCGACCTTCAGTTTTTGTTTCCTTCTATTTCGATCACTTCGCTCCATCATATTACCACAGCAGCACAGGGTATTGCCATGATAGATTCGACTGCGTCCCCTTTTCCCCCGTATTGGTTCTTGTGGCAGCTCGCTAGTGTCCGCCTTATTAGCTTGGCACCTCGGTGAGACTTGCGTAGGTCAAAAATGGTGGCTGCAATATTGCACGTGCTAAAAAAAATCTGCGCTTAAAATAATAATAAAAAAAAAGCGGAGGACGTCAGAGACAACCACACTCTTTATCGGATTCTACGAAACTACCAAGTATTCGCTTCCATGAAAAGACAAACTAAATATTCTGTTTCGATAAAAAAAAAAAAAAAAGACAAATGAAAGCTTTAACTCACTCGTGGAATGCAGGAGGCTCTGGTGAACGACGGCATCGAACCGATGATCATGGGTCTGAGCTCGCAAGCGGCAGAGAGGGAGGACAACGTCATCGTCGAGGACCTTAGAGGTACGGAAACTTCTACTTAAAAAAAAAAAAAAAAAAAAAAAAAAAAAAAAAACATTGACGGCATTAAGGGCACAGGGTAAGGTAAAATTTAAAAAAAAAATTGATTTTATTTTTTTCGCAATTTGAAAAGTTTAGTTTTTTCGGCACATTTTCCATTGTCCCAGTTTTTTTAGAAAGCTATATTTCGGTCTGAAAATCACTTCTTCCGAAAGCAAGTAGCAGGTGACCACGCCTCCTTTTGGGATACACTCCCTGTTTATCGATGAATTCTCCAACAAAACAAAACCAACACAAGACCTAAAAGCTTGTCCAGTAACAGATAATCTCAAAAAAATTATTTCGCAACTATTGCATAGCTTTTTTTCAACCAAGACAATCACGAGACACTGTGTATGTTTTTCCCAGGTGTGTACCGTATGTACATTCAAGCGTTTGTATTTTCGTAACGACGAAATGGCGACATTGGATGTTGTTCCTTTATTCAATGGTGGCAGCATTGCACAAGCCAATGTTTTGAAGTTTTGTGGATGGAACCCTGTGTGGAAAACCATCAAGTGGCTGAGGGAAGTTGACGTCACTCGAATATACTTTACGGACCAAGCGACATGGCAGGTCACAAAAGAGGCCCGGCAAGCAAGGCGATAAGCCTGAAGGCGAAGACATGACTTTAGCAATGCCTTTCAAGCTGGCGGCTATTGAAAAAATGACTCTGAGGCTGTTGGTGCCAATAGAAATTCGTTATTCACCAGTTTTTTTACTTTAAACTCAATTATCTCAAAACAGTGTTTTTTAGTGCATAGGTACCATTCTTTCCTTAACCTGACATTATAGCGGGTTGATTTTTTATTCCTACCACATACATGGGTGTTCAAAAATACTGAACTAAAATTAAACATGTGCACCTAGCAGTTTTTGAGTTACAAAGTTTTTAATAGATGAAAAAAACTAAAATTTCAGTACTAGAATAAAAAAATATATAAAAAAGCTTATTTTAGGTTGGTTCAAATAATTCTAGTTCAGTGGATAAAACACAATATTTCGAACAAAATGATATATACATGACAGGAATACTCCTAATAGTCACCGAGAAAAATGTTCCTCAACATGGCCTCAAATGCATGGGGAGTATAGGACTTACCCTGTGCCCTTAAAGAAAAAAATATCGAGGCGTGGCAAGTTGTTTTCCTCTCATTACCAGAGCTGGCCAAATTACTCATATTTTGTAATTAAATTACATTACTAATTACTTTGCTGAAAATTGCTGAAATGTAATTAAATTACATTACAAATGAGTCATTACCGCTTCGCAGCCAATCAGATTGCAGCAATGGCAAATTCGAAGAAAAAAAAAAAACACGAGATGAGAAGCGTGAATTAACATTACAAGTTACGCCCCCGCCTTTCTTAAGCTTTCTGCGGGTGTGGCGCTCTAGGCTGTGGCAATATGGAGTGTTGACTTTTCCGCAAGTCACTCGGGTGAGGCGATGGCTGCAACCTGCGGAGGGAGCTCGGCCGATAACGGTTGCTGAACTTGACGCTTGAACCTTGAAAAAACACTGAGCATGGGCAAATCGTTTTGTTTTTATAAGCAAAAATAATTAAAGTATAAACTTTTTTTTTATTAACCTCGTCATTCTTCCAGCTTCCTTCGTAGATCTCCAGCGATTGGTTCTTCCAGGTGTTTTGCGGGAAAGTGTACGACCCAGATTTCCTGCAGCGTATATAGTGTTTCCATAAGTTGTTTACAGGGTCTTTAGACTTCTGTGCTGCTTTATTGCAACATGCCAAACCAGAAGGTCTATAGAATAAAACAAAAACTTCACAGAATTGATTTTTGAGACAGAGGTAACACGAATATAATAACACTAAAACTGGGGTAGCAAAAAAAAAAAAAAAAAACACACGGTAAAATAGACATAAACAAAAGGGGAACCGACAGCGTCTCTAACTAAGCTTTAAGGTTTATTTTGTCCACACCTTATATACCCTTCTCCAATGTTGTCATTGCCCCAAACGAAACCGCACGAGCTTCCTCTCAACAACTCTACGAAAAAAAAAAACGCACTTGTTAAAACTAGAGCCACTAAATAAGCTGCGCTTAGAGTATCGGCACTCCGTTCCCCGACATTGTTGTGGGCGCCGCCATTTTGGCTCGTATGCAGAACAGACGCAACGGCCGATCGTCATGATTCAAAAGTGCGACTTCCTCAGCATTAGATTCGGTGTTAGGAAGGTAATGTAATATTGCTTTGCCCTGTCGCGAACGGTTTGAACATTTGTGGAGGGCGGAAAAGCATTTCCTGTGATTTCAGATAAAGCTTCAGATAACTGGCAACCATGATTTTAAGCCACAATATGGCCAAGTGTCGTTACTCTGAAGCGTAGCTTATTTAGTGGCACTAGTTAAAACTAGCGCTGGGCGTCGATTAAAAGTTTTAACTAGATTAATCAACACCCTTTAATCGATTAAGTAATGAATTCATCGGCCTCGCTTACTTTTATAAAGGCCTTTTTTTTGCCTTTGCCGAATATATGATAAAAGGCGCAGACAGGGATTCTGGGGGTTGGTCGCAGAAGTCCTCGCAAATCAGACGAGCGAACGCGAGTGCCACCGTCGTCGTGGCGTCCCACCTCCTGACTGCTGAAAGCTTTCGTAGGCTGTCAAGCTTAAGAGGGACCTACAGCTGAGCAGGCGTCAGTCGCATTCACCTTCGCTGCCGTGCCACCGCTAGGGTCGCAGGAGTCAACAGCGTCACACCTGCATGACGTCACAAGGTGTACATTTAAAGATCACTTTTGAGCACGCGCTAAGAAAAAAAAAAAACAGCCAGAGTCGCGCTCCAGGAGCTGTACGTGGTACCACAATACGTTTTCGGGGGAAAAAAAACCTCTATAAACTCTTTTACGATAACGAAAGAGGGACATGGAAGACAAACATATCCCTCTCTTTTGTTATCGTAAATTAGACGCCAACACGCTTAACCATCTGCATTACAACTAAACTCTCGGGACCTTCTTGGGTTCATTGACGTCTACGCAGGACGCGTGTTCGGTCCTCTGGAATTCTCTCGCCGAGACCTGATGGCCGTGAACATCCAGAGGGGGCGAGACCACGCTATCCCCGACTACAAGACCGCTCGAAGATTGTTGGGACTCCCGACCGACTTCTCGAACTTCTCCGAGATGGGCCAGAAGGTGTCGCCCCTACTCTACCAAGAGAACCCGCAGGTGTAAATGCTCATCACTCGGGACAGAAAAAAAAAATGCTGAGTCACTGGGATGCGCTTCTACAGAGCGGGTTCCACAGCTCAGGAGCGAGATGGCAGCGCCCAGAGAAAGATTGCTAGAATGATTCGTTGCGACAGGCTTGGCTAGTAGGTGTGGGAAGAGAGTTCTATAACAGGTAACATCACAGCCACCCGATTAGATAGGTATTGATAGGCACAATTGCTACCGCCTAGTTAAAAAAAAAAAGTTCAACCGTATTCCATCAGACGTTCATCTATCCATCTATGCACAATCTTCTATTCATATTATCTTGGAAAAAAAGAAAGATCAACAAGATCAAAGGGCAACTGCCGTCCCCAAGTTTCGCACGTTTGTAAATCTGTCATGAGCCAAGAAGAACGTATTTTAAAACCATTCTCGTATTTTAAGCACGAGGGTATCAAAGTTCTAACTAAAGTATATTCGAGTTGGTCAATAATTTGATATTGTAAGCTGCGCGAAGCATGTAGCTGCGCTAAACATGTAGCAACACCGCATGAACTTTTTTTTCCGCTCTACTTAAAAGAGTGTAAGCACATACCATTTTACCAAATAGATAGTTGCCCTATATACGTAAACCCGTTCCATGACATCCGTTGGTTTGAATAAAGTATTTTCCATGTAAGACAAACAACAACAAAAAAATCTAGCAAGCTCTTGTTCTTGCTGAATATGTCACGTTCTGTACATGGTACGCTACTTCGGTATAAAACTTTTGGCAAGCTAGTTTCCCCCATAAAATAAGCGAGCCAAGCAGCGTATTCCCTCGATTCGGTAACTGCAAACTCCTTTTTTGAAGAGCGTTTCCGTGCTTATGCGTTGACGCGAGTCGCACGCGCGTACAGCTCTTCGACAGGGTTCTCCCGGAACTGTATGGCAACTCGACGGACCTCGTGGACATGTGGGTCGGAGGCCTGCTGGAGACCACGGATCGCCCTGGACAGCTCTTCCAGACCATCATCAGGGACCAGTTTCGCAGAATCAGGGACGGCGATAGATTCTGGTTTGAAAACAACCAAACGGGGTGAGCGCGGCTTATGGTAGTATAGTTAGAAGCTAAAAGGACACTGAAGGCGGGCTCAAGCTTCCTTGAATTGTTTTTATATGTCCGAAAGCGTTTTGGAAAAAAGCTTGTGAAGTAATTAACAACGGGCAAATTTCGGCCATCTGACTTCTGACAATGATTCATCCTCCAGTAAATTTAGCGGAGAAAATGCCGTGACAGCTAGCTCTTCGTGATTGCTATTCGTGACAGTTTTCTCATAGAAATCGACAAATAGAGGTTTTTTTTAATGTTTGTTTCTTTCAGTTTTTTCTCAAACGACCAGATCGAGAGGATAAGGAGGTTGAACGTGTACGACGTTATTCTGACGGCCACAAACATCAACCCGGGAGACATCCAGACTAACCCTTTTCGACTTCCGTCAACCGGTAAGTTAACTCCTGTTCAGGCAAGACGCACGCTTGTTCTACTTTTTTTGCTTTTAAGGAAAAGGTACTTCCATACGGATATGCCCAACTTCGACTGTTGGATTAGGAAACCGCTGAACTAGGATGCCTCAATATGTACAGTGCTAATCACACTTGTCTATAACGCGCGAGCGTGCGGCTTTCTTCGGAGAGCTCTAGACTGGTGGCATTCGCGGAAACTAAGCTAGCACGTGGCGCAACATGGAACGGCCCGCTCGAGGGGTGTCCTGCCCACTCTATCAGCTGGCGGCGAACGCGGAAGGCTGCTCGAACGTTTTTTACAAACATCATTGCTCGAACAATAAACAAACTAGAGTATCAAGGCGTATCAACAATGTCGTCATCAAAAAACAAATGTATATCATGAAGCACTTTTATCGCTTATCAAGCTGATAGAGTGGGCAGGACACCCCTCGATCGGGCCGTTCCATGTTGCGCCACGTGACTAGCTTAGTTTCTGCGAATGCCACCAGTCCAGCGCTCCCCGGAGAAAGCCGCCCGCTCGCGCGTTATAGACAAGTGTGATTAGCACTGTACTTCTGTTTAGAGCGACGGCACTCTTTGTAGTTCACCGGAAAAAAAATACAAAGAAATAGCCGGAAACAAAATGCCGCCGTGGCAGTCAAGGCAACCAGCTCGTGCGAAAAAACGTGCTTGCAAGTGCAAAAAATAAAAAAGCGTTCAGAATAAAATCGTTACGTATCATCGTCTTATATGCAAACTACAGATGACAGCACACCAAACTGACGTTGGGGATTTTTAGAATAGGGGGAACCAAGGCTTTCGATTCCCTCAGAATAGCTTGCATCCTCGCACTGCGCGTGCGCATAACATTTGCGCTTGTGCAGTGCGACGGCCCTAAGATGCTCGGTGGAACCCAAAGCGTCTCTCTGCACAAACACACCTAGAAGTCAAGGCCTGCACGTTCCCCTCCCAAACGTCATTACTGGCGGATCCACGCAGAGCACCTTTGTAGAGAACAAGTCGTCTGCTTCTTGCGCAGAAGTTCCGGTGACGTCTGAACGACGCAGAGTTCTGATTGGCTCTGATTGAAGGATAGTGGGTAGACCTCAAAGCAAGCTGCCTTAAAGTCTGCCCACTATCCTTCAAGCAAAGCCAATCGGAGGTCGGCGTCCTGACGGGACCACAGCCCCTCCAAAAGAAGCATACAAACTTGTGCTCCGCATAGCTTGCGTCAGAGTCGCCACCAACGCGTCTTGACGGACGCGTCGTCTGTCGCTTTGCGGTGTCTCTCTAGTCGAGCTTCGGAGTGTTTGCCACTTAAGGTGCGTCGGAAATCCGCCAACGTTGACGTCACGAGCAGGCCTTGCCTTTTTTGGCTGTTTTAGATGAATGCATAACGAATCGTTTGTTGCTCGCCGGCAGACAACCCCGGCTTGGACCCGGCCTGCCTGAGTCAGCTGACAATTCAGTACCCGTGCGTCACGGCTGGCCGCAACGTAACGTGCAGCGCTCTGCCGCCACTCAACAGCGCCCGCGTCGAGAGTTGCACCCGGCTCCAGACCTTCGATTACTTCAGCGAGAGCGAGGTCTCGTACGCGCTCACGTTCCTGGGCCTGGCACTGTTCGTCTTGGGTAAGCGAGACGGCAAGCAATGCGGAGAGCAATTCGTCTGCTTCTTGCGCAGGAGTTGCGGTGACGTCAGAAAGGCACCGAGCCCTGATTGGCTCTGATTGAAGGATAGTGGATAGATATAAAAGCAAGCTGCCTCGAGGTATACCCACTATGCTTCCTTCAGAATCAATCAGAGCTCGGCGTTCTGACGTCGCCATAACCGCTGAAAAAGAAGCAGACGAACTTGCGCTCCGCACGGTCAGCCCCGAAGGACGTTTGGTGTTTCTTCTGTATAGATGAGGAGTTTGGCCGGTGCTGGGGGGGGGGGGGGGGGGGGGTATACCACTGCTAGCCTGGGTATACAGTGCCTGGAACACACGTTCGACCGGTGTGTTTAGCGCCCACCCACACATCAAAATATGGTCCCGGAGTGACGTCGGATGTCGCGATCCTGGCGGGTGGGGGGCGAGCTAACCTGAGTGTCGCTGCCGTCGCGGAGGCCCCAACTCCCGGCTGCTAAAGCTTCTCCGAACTGTCGAGCCCGAGAGGTATTTGCAGCAGAACAGGAGCCTGAAATACTCACCTCCAGGATCGCGACCGGCGACGATGTGACACTTGTACGACATTTTAAAATGAACATCAATGTGCCACTTTTTAGGACGCGGTAAAAACACCGCTCGGAGACGCGTTCCAGGCACCATGGTGTGGGGTCTTTAACGTGCACCACTGCACTATAGTGATCAGCAACCGTATACGCTGGTATACGGTGCTTGTCCGGATCGAAACGGGCAGCGTGTGAGGATGGGGACAAAGAATGTTTTCTGTCCTGCCAGAAAGGACTGTCTATACTGTCTTTCAAACAAACTTAAGCGATTTTGCCCTTAAATACTGCATTCCACGTAATATACGAATAGAAAGAGAGGTAGAGAGGAGGAGGACGAGATCGTGCGAGGACCTTAGAACACCGAGCTCTGCATGGTCGGAATGACTTGTGGATAGGCGCGAAGCCTAGCTGCCTTTATCTCTACTCACTCTTCGAACGCGTATCGAACGACAGCGTCCAGCGTTTGCGTTCGAAATCGTTCGAAGAGTGAGTAGAGACAGATTTTTGTCTACCCACAAGTCATTCCAACCACGGAGAGGTCGGTGTTCTAATGTCACTGCGCGCGCACTCGTCCCCTCGTCCCCCTCATCTTCTACCCGTACAAGACTTTGGAGATAAAAGCGGCTGCCGTTTTCGCCTTCTTCGTACACAGGATGTGTCATGCTGCTCTTCATGTTGGCCGCGAGAAGAAACCGACATGTTGCTGAGGAACGCAAGAAGCTGAACAAGAGACGACCTCGTTCGGGAGACCATAACGTGATAAGTGGTAAGAAGCTGACAACATGTATGACAGCGCTTCAGCGACATTGTTTATCTTTAAACGTATCAAAGTATTTAGTCTACACAAAATGATGGAAAGGGGGGGGGGGGGGGGGGAGTCAACCTAACATAAATGTTGACAAATGGTTTTTTTCAGAATCAACTACTGGTTTTCCTAGAAAGAAACTCAGCTCTTAATACCGGTATTTCTTTTTATAACAAAATAGTAAGAGCTCGAGTCACTAAATAGGTAACGACTAGAGTATCAGCAGTTCCTTCCGCAATCCTCTTGTGGCCGCTGCCATCTTGGTCCTCAGTGCAAAGTGCGGGCGCAATAGACCCTTTCCAAAGCACCAGCGAGCAACATCGGCAGTCGCCATTTTTTGCGAGTGAAGGACGCGATTGAATCCGAGTCTTCGCCAAACGTATACCGCAACGCTCGCATCCATTACAAGTTCACAATCCGTGCCCAAATTTCAAATTGCGACTTTTCGAGGTTTTAGACATGGTCTCGGGAAGCTCGGGTGATATCGTTCTGCTCTGTTGCGGACTCTTCTAAACGTTTCTGCAGGACTTAAAAAAAAAAAAAGAAAAAACGTCTCCTGCGATTTGCGATAGAGCTTCGGATAAATGGCAAGAATGATTTCAAAGGCCGACGGCCAGACTTGAGATTCTGCAAGGCAGAAGATCCAACTCACCATGGGGGAGGAGGAAACAGACAACGTTGGACAGTGTAAACGGAGGGAGAGAAGGAAGCGAGGGAAAAATGGAAAGCGCGAACGGGTTTCGGTCTTTAAGCACATGTCTCTACTCTGTTGCGTAGTTTTTGTATTTATTTCACAGCCGAGACTGATAGCATATTGACCTTGTGAGTGACTTTATAGACACCGACAAGTTAAGAGACGCGGGACGTGGCGAATGACATCGCGGCGTCTGTTGATAAACAAATCGAAGAGCAAATCACGAAGCGAGAAGCCTGGTCATAATAAGCCACGCCCAGCGTTTTTTTTTTTTTTTTTGCGCTGTTGGTGATCATAGTTAGAAACTATGCGGAGCGAAAGTTCGTCTGCTTCTTGCACAGGGTTTGCAGTGACGTCGGAACACCGAGCTCTGATTGGCTCCGGCTGGAAATGGTAGGCCTCGATGCTAGCTGCCTCGAGGTCTACCCACTATCCTTGCAGTCAGAGCCAATGAGAGCAATGAAAATCTTGGCTGGACGCCGTGTTGATGACTTCTCGACGTATGCTTTCTACGCCCGGAGGCAGTGTTTTCCAGCTCGGTCGAGTTATCTTGTGTCGTGATCGATCGCGTGGGTCGGAGTAGCCGGCTACACAAAAAGGGCATAATTTTGTACTTGAATTTTTGACGTAGAACTACGTAGGACTAGTGACGTCCCACAGGTAACACCGGAGCGCCGACCGATTTGCATCGCCGCGCTCCCTGACGGCGCGTCGAGCTTGCTACCAAGAACCGCGCAGTTAGGTATGCACACTAAACCATATCAGAAACATTCTCAGACTTCTTCACATTCGCACCCTCGTCGCAGGAGCCGGCAACCTTGACGTCGTCCTCGACGTCTTACTAAAGATCGCCCTTGAGATCGTCCTTGAGCTCGTCCTTGACGTCGTCCTAGAGGTCGTCCTAGACGTCATCGTTGACGTCGTCCTCTAGGACGTCGCCCTTGAGGTTGTCCTAGCGAATGCTATCGCAATTCATAGACAAACATCAATAGTGGTTTCTGCAGCAATTTCCTATCTGCTGGCTTGCTCGTTTGCTCGCTTCAACGCGACATGCTCTCGTCTGACTGAAAGGGCGGCAGACGCCGCTCCAGCAGCCCTGATTCCACAATCTTCGCACATTGCCCTAGCGGCCGAGCGGCCTAGCTCGGGTCTTCTGGGGCACGGGCAGTTCACGCGACTCTTGAGCGCAACTCGGCGAAGCGTTAATTCCTTTGACTTCTTGCGTCACCCACACGTAGTTCTACGGAAATTTATGCAGCATAGTGAACCCGTGCACCGACCAATTCTCTTGTAAAGGCCGGCATTTGTTCGGACCTGAGACGAGCCGTCAATAGAGAAGTCGACCAGTCGCGGCCAAAATGGCTCCAGTAGATGCCGTCGGGCCGAGTACAGAAAGAAAGACATCGGAGTATGTTTGCGCTTATCCGGCTTAAATTACGTCCCTACAACGTTTCTAGAGAGTTCTGCCGTCGAGAGGGTGCTTGCCTTCGTGCCTCAGCGTTTCACCAACACCAAAAGCGACGCTAATAACTAAGCGCCTACGTGTAAACAAATGGTGGGAGTTCAGGACGCAGTTCATCAACATGGCAGAATGCTGCTTACCGGAAGGGAAAATGCGTTTCGTGGAACTTTCCTATTGTACACGGCCTTAAAGTGTGCGGGCAAGGATGTTAGAAGCCAATCCACGTCGCGACTCGCGTGTTTATTGACTACACACGGTGGCCGCTAACCGGGTCGATGAACGCCTGGCGCAGCACGAGAGTGGCAAGGCCCGAAGCCAGGCTACCGGAACGTGGCCATCCGATTCCTGCCGGACAAGAAGTTTGTCAACGTGGTTCACGCCACGAGCGGGGCTTCCCTGCGAAGCATCGACCTGAGGAAGGTCCAGACGGTGGTGGTGCAGGTGGCTTCGGCCAAGAACAGGTTTTTCTTCATGCTCCGGCTGCCCAGAGAGTACGATCTGGTAGGTTGCATCTTCAGGGCGCTTTGTTAGGGGCTCTTGGAAACCAGCGTAAACAGGATGCGATCAAGGAAACTCTGTTTTTTGGCCCAAATAAGCAAACTACTCATTGCAGAAAGCTGAAATTTCGTTCGAATGATGCGCCAGTGGTGGTTGTAGAATAAAAAAGTTTCAGAACATGACGTAAAATAAATTAATCAATAAATAAAAAGAAAAAAGAAGCCTTGTCCATGGGCCGTGGATCTATTCTTCGCCCTAATAGAAGAAAAATACATTTTGGGCGATTTCGGCATTTATTTCAGTGAAATAACTTGTCAGCGAGAAAGCAATGCTAAAAAATAGTCTAGTTAACCTAAGTATTCCGTTATAATTGTTTTTATTTTTGAAGGGGGGGGGGGTAGTGTTTTTTTAATGATTGATTGGGCATTTCGTCTTTTACATATTTCTCACAATACTTACGTCTCGGCAAACAAATCTATTTTCGTCACGTTTCTAATATGGGTGGATGGGTTTTAATTATGTATTTTCTACAAAGATGCAGCTTAACTTTTAATGTCACTTAAGGTCGTAGATTTTCCTGTGTGTATTTATATAAAAATTAGAAGATATCTTGCGGGCATTATTATAAAAAGTCGGTATCTTTCGGCGATTTTTTTTAATATGAACACTATGTACGATAACTATAGGTAAAAAAAAAAACTCACCCCAAACTAAAAACTAAAATTAATTATTTTATTTTATTTTACGCCTCCCTATAGCGATTACCATTTACCATAATGCGACAGTACATGCAAATCACGGACAACAGGTCCAAAAGCAGGTCAAACAACGATTAGTTCTAAAGTAATCGCCCGGAGCTTAGCTTTGGTTTCTTTGTATACTCTTATCCTTCTGCTCACTGCGATGGCAAAAAGTTAAATTGCTCTCAAGGAATGTGTCTCTGACACAAGAAAAGCAAGTTGCTCGTGCTTCTTTCGCAAGATCCAATCAATAACGCCGTCAGTGTAGTTTAGAACACTGTCACCCAGCTCTGAATTGAACAGAACAAAGACATCATACCAGTCCGTGGTGACCGACCAACAGACATAACTCTTACGTAACTGTCCTTCAAGGTCTGTCATTCCACTGATTTGGAACTGGCAGAGTGCCTGATTTTAGATAAGAGTGTGCGCCCGACTAATGTTTCAACAAATGTTTGGGACGAAAAATAAGATCCAGCAAAACTCGATAGAAATTGCTATCTTTTGGTTGTAACTGCATTTTATTTATCTTCCCAACCGGAGGATGTTTATCTGCGTTTTTCGTTTAAATCCAGAAAGCCTAATGCCCTCCTTAGAACGACCTCTTGCCCTTTTTCTTTGCGCAAAGGTGCTGAAGTTTGACTCGAAGGAAGACCTGGAGGGCTTCATTGGCAAACTGGAGGAGTTCCTGGGTGCCATCGGCGTGGGCCGGGAGCGCCGAGAGCTAGAAGAACACACGCTTCTTCGCCAGGCGGTCACACTGGAGCACCGTCAGAAGCAGCTGGACAAGTTCTTCAGGGTCGTGTTCGCTCAGGCAAGGGCTCCGCCGCATAGTGGTATATAGCTATAGACCGACACGGCGGAGCGACTCTGTTTACCAACACGGCCGGAAGGCCGCGCATGCGCGGTAGCTATGTGGGCAAAAGCAACCCGGCTCTCCGTGTTTTCGACATTGCGTTCTATGGCGTGCGCTCGTTGTTGACGTTGCAGGGACGCTTGCATCTTTATTTGTGCGTCGTATTTCCTGACAACGTATGTCGTATGATATGCCCGACTACCCGAGCCTGAACGGCAGCGGCATCGAAACAAACTGTGCGTGGACGGCGTTGCTACGAGGATCCGTACGCCGTAAACAAGGCCTGCTGGACTTCCGACGTAAAGTTGCTGCCACCGAAGTCGACGGCTCACGTCGTCGTTTATTTAGTTTTTTTCGCCAAGCCAGTTCACGGCCGACACGGTGCAAGCGTACAAGTCTCTCGAGGCCTACGATTACTTCGAGTCGGTTTCCGCACTGCCGGCGGGATCAGCAGACTGTGGGTCTGCGGAAGTGTATTTATTAATTGATTAAATACCCGCGCGGCGTCTTCAAGTCAGGGTATGATATGTTTTTCTACCTTCATGACTACAAGGCACGACAAGCAGTAATGCGTTGTCCTTTCTGCAGCCTTGGCAATAACATGTTACAAGAAAGTTATAACGGCGCTACCAATAACGCGTTCCTTTTTCAGTAACGAATGTAACCTACTCGTTACGTTTTTGACACAGTAACGGGTAACGTACTTACGTTACTATTTCAAGTAACGTAGTTACGTTACTGGTTACTACCTCCCAAGTCCTAAAGAAATTACACTTCATTTTTTTTTTTCGTGTTTTAGGCGTCAAGCCATGTTTTTCTTTGCATTTTCTCTCGTATTTAGGTGAAACCGTAAAAAGATAAAGTAATTATGTTCAGTTTCTGGACGAACATTAATGTTTCTTGATATATGACCTGGATCGTCAAAACCGTAAAATGTGTTAAATTATAATTTAAAAAAGTGACGCAGAAGTAACGTGCGTTACTTTTATCGGTAGCGGTAACGCGTTTCTTTTATTTTTAGGTAACGTAGCTCAGTAACGCGTACCTTTTATTTGCAAGTAACGAGTAACGTATTTCGTTACTTTTTTTCGGTAACGCCTACAACACTGCCGTTCTGTCGCCGATCCCCTTCTGCTGGGTAGCACGGGCGTAGCGAGCCTCCAATGAGCGCTTGGCCGGTGCTTTGTACGCGAACACCAAGGGAACAAAATCTGAGTATTCTCGATCAGACAACGGTTTCCCTGAACATGAGCAAGCCTCGGGACGGAGATTGAAATGGAAGCCGCACTTGCCTTCAAGAAAGTGTTTGCCGCACAAACGGTCGTTCGCGCGAGGCTACCATTTTTCTTTTTTTTCGGTCCATGGATATTATTTACCTTCTATGCCTTTCAGAGTATGTCGGGAACTTGTGGAAATTCATTCCGCTGCTTTTCTTGTACATTTCGGTGCAATTAACGGCAACAGAGATGATGCTGGAATGCTATGACGCCCATGCGAAACGTGCGCGCTTTTGCCCACACGAGCCGGCTCCGGCCAGAGCCGGCTCCGGCCAGAGCCGGCTCCGGCGCGATCGCAGCGCCGCCGCAGCTCCGTGACGTCAAGCCCGCGTGTCGGTCTATAATATCTAAACGCTTCCACATCATAGTGAATTTTTTTGCTCACTTAAACCCAAAAGCCACGATTACATTACCTTACGTCTCAGACATTACCTGCACACTATGCGAAGCATAGTGTGCAGGTAATGTCTGAGACGTTTTTCTATCTTGTTTGCCGGTACTGTCACACTAGTTATAGAACAACTGCCTGCAGACATGTTCGAATCATACCAATGTCTGAAGCAGACATGCTTCAAAATGCTTCAGGCGTGTTCGCAGATAAGTTTGTCATCACGTCTGCAGAGAAACTCCGTACCTTTTTGCATGATGTATTGGCAGCGAGACTTGGGTTTTTAAGGCACTTGACTTCTGCAAAGTTAAGACTGATAGCTTAAGGCTATGCGAAGTAAACGTCGCTTTAAAGTTCACATGATGCATGTACCCTTATACACTGAATGTGGTAGTTTATCAGAGAAACATTATATTTGGGGTAAAATCTTCTATGGCTATGATTAAGAATGCGGCCGAAGCTCCTCCCACACCCACATTCCTCCGCGGTGGGCAAATAGTGCGCTACCGAGGCGCGTGGCGCGCTGACGTCACATAACTCGTTCTTGGGTACTGCCTCTCTGTGTTGATTTGCGGAGCAGTTCGATGGCGTGGCTGGAACGTGGCGGTGTGTACATGGCGCTCTTTTAAAACTTGTGATATGACAATCACGATAAGAGTTCCATGACCTTCACGTAGTTCTCGACCGGGGTTCCAGGACGGATTGCATATTCCTTGACTTCTCCAAAGCCTTCGATAAAGTACCCCATGTACTCCTTCTCCATAAACTTGGTAACTTAAACATAGATAACAACATAGTCAATTGGATAGAATCGTTTTTAACAAATCGTTTGCAATTTGTTTGCGCCAACGGAACTAACTCATCATTATCAAGTGTTAACTCTGGTGTTCCTCAAGGTTCTGTGCTCGGTCCACTACTATTTCTTATTTATATTAACGATCTTCCTATGCATGTTTCCTCTTCCATCAGCTTGTACGCTGACGACTGCGTCATTTATAAAGAAATTATTAACAATTCTGACATTTCTGTTTTTCAAACTGTTATAAACAACGTCACACAATGGTGCTCAGAATGGCATATGGAACTCAACACATCTAAATGTAGATCTATGAGAGTGTCCAGGCATAATAACACTTGTCCATCCTACAACATCATTAACTCCCCCCCTACTTTCTGTTACTTCCTATAAATATCTTGGTGTGCATCTAACCAATGACCTTTCCTGGAATTTACATGTCGAATATGTCACTAATAGCGCTAATCGCTTACTAGGTTACCTCAAAAGAAAACTTTCGCTTACTCCTGTTTCATTAAAGCTTCTAATCTATAAGACTTTAGTCCGTACTAAATTGGAATATGCAGCCTCTATCTGGGACCCCGATATCACCCTTTCATCCGCTGTTGAGTCCATACAAAATCGTTCCGCTCGTTTCATCCTCTCGAACTATCATCGCACATCCAGCGTCACATCTATGAAAGCATCCCTTTCCTTGCCTAACCTCTCTCTTCGCAGGAAAATATCCCGGCTTTGTCTTTTTCAGAAGATTTTTCACTCTAATCCAACACTTCGTCAAACATTATTCTTAGAACCACCTTACATTTCGCTACGAACTAATCACCATCTAAAAGTGGGCGTCCCCCAGTGTAACACCTCATCTTTCAATGCCTCCTTTCTCCCTCAGACCTCAATAGATTGGAATCGCCTTCCTGCACCCATAGTCTCGATAACTGATGCTACTGATTTTAAAATTGCCATTACTAAGTTTTTTGATGTTCAGTAACTTTTGTTTTATGTCTTGCCTTATGTATCGTTATACTCATATGTTTCCGTTAAAAAAAAAACCCACTACTCTCTGTAATGCCTTCGGGCCCTGAGAGAACAATAAATGAAATGAAATGCAATGAAGATGTCGATCGCCAGAACAAGACGATCTGCGAAGTGATTCCGGGGAACTGTGACGTTGCAGGCCTTTGGCATCGAGCACGACCAGAAGGAGATTCTGGAGCTGGACGCCGCCCAGGCGAGGGACGTGGTGAACCTGGAACTGACGCAGTCCGAGTTCGCCAGCGCCCTGTCCATGCAGCCGGACTCGACGTTCGTCCAGCAAATGTTCGGGCTCGTGGACAACGACAACAACGGCTACATTTCTTTCCGGGAGTTCCTCGACATGATCGTCATATTTTCCAAGGGTATACGGTCTCTCGAACAAAGAACACTTGACCGGCATTGTCTGGTGCTAAGTGCCCCTTTCGCAGCCAGATGCCCGCAGCGTTAAGTCTATACTGGATATGATATGTACTATCGGGGAAAAAAGAAATGCGAACAGAGGAGCGCGTGGCTCGCGGTACAGGCTGCGCCGCCTGGAAGTGAACCTAGGGGCGAGGGTGCGTGGCCTACTTAGATGTGGTCACGCCCCTCGATTGGCGCTCCCCCAGCTTCGGCAGTGCGCCTCTCAGTGCGCTGAAAGCTGTCACTGCTATCTTTGCCTGCTCGGCGAGTGCGGCAAGCTTCTTTGCACCGCACGCGCTGAGCCAGCAAAGATAGTGGTGATAGCTTTCAGCGCACGAAGAGGCGCACTGCTGAAGCTTGGAGAGCGCAGAGGGAGAGGCGTGAACACGTCAGAGTAGGCCACGCACCCTCGCTCCTAGGCTCACTTCCAGGCGGCACAGCCTGTACCGCGAGCCACGCGCTCCTCTGTTCGCATTTCATTTTTCCCCGGTAGTACCTACTATGTTTTCACAGCATTTATTAAAGTCATTCAAGCCATTCGAGACTGCAGGATTGGGATAGCTATGGCGCGTAAAACCAGTAATTTCAAGAAAGACCTTAAGCGCGTGAGATGCGTACTAGTGTACTAAAGTTACCACTCGTGGAGCAGGTACAAGGCTGGGGCTACATAAGAGACAGAAAACTTGCGCGGGCGTCTTACCGCAACCGCTAGCCTTGTACCTGCCCCACGAGTGGTAACTTTAGTGCACTACTATGCTTCTCACACGCTCAAAGTCTTCCTGAAAATTACTGATTTAGTGGTTTTCGATGACGCTCAGCAAGTTTCTAATTGGAACCATATGTCTATTTTCACTAGTTAAAAAGTTAGTTAACAAATTTTAATTAATTATCCGACTGCCCTACCGAAAAATCCGGTATAACTTTTCACACACCGGATTATGGAACCGGAAATTTGTTACTGGAAACCCGAAATCCAGATTGCAGACAAAGGAATAATTTTTGAAAACCTAAATTCCAGATAGAGTCCAGATAGAATCCAGATAGATTTCCGGTTCCTTAATCCGGATAGCGAAAAGTTAAACCGGATTTTTCGGTAGGGTGATCGTTACAATTAGCCCCCTATACTATGTCCCCCTGGCCGTATAACTCACCTGCACAAACAGCATAAGTGTAACTTTCACAGATCTTTTTAAACAAATCTGACAAGTTAAAAAACGGTGCGTGTGTGTGTGTGTATATGTGTGTGTGTGGTTAAAATGATTTAAGAAAACTATAAAGGTCAAGTAATAGAGTCCTCCAATATGCTATGTGGGTTGGGCTACGGCGACATTTCATTGAACCTTTTAAGCTTGGTTTAGTTGCTAAAAACTGATTAACGGAAAAACAGATGCCATAGGAATACTGAAGAAGCAGTTATACTCCTGATATTGCATGCTTATTTGAAGTAAATAAAACCAAACAACAGTGTGAAGCCGCAAGTCCCCAGGAAGTGCGATAAGACCTCCTTAGGGCGTTTAGTAAAGTATCTGCCAGGCGCCAACGCGCTCACTTTTTGAGACGAAAAGACACTCATATTTCATCATGCTTACATATATTTGTATTTGGCTGTAAATAATTTAAGATTATGTACACATGGTGCCAGGCACGTAGCCAGGATTTCGTTTCTGGGGGGGGGGGGGGGGGGGCGCTCACGACAAACTGCTGTATAAAGGGGAGGGGGGGGAGGAGGCCCCAGCAAAATGAAGATTTCGGGGGGGGGCATGGGGCCTGCCCCCCCCCCTCCCCCCTCAAAATCTTCCATTTTGCAGTCTGGAAAATGTAATCTTTCATTTCCCAAACTGCAAAGCTGGCTATAGGCCTGCATGGTGCATATTATGCGCTGCAATACTGGCATATTGACCCACACGCATGGCAAAGTATGCTTACGTTTATTTACCAGCTCTGCAGTTAGGGTATATGCTATCTTACAGCACTATTGTTATTTGTCATTATCGCTAAAGAGGCTGTTAAGAAATACTAACACTATCTTCTTTTGTATATTCAACATTTCTTTATCTAGGAGAAGTTTCAGGAACGCTCAGTCGTTTATTATCGTGACGAAATAAGTGAATCACTAGCAGGGAGTTGTCATTTCTTTTAAATTGTTATTTTTCCTTCTATCTTCAGGAACGGCGGAAGACAAAACTAAGCTGATGTTCGACATGTACGACATCGACCATTCGGGAAAGCTGAGCAGGGACGAGTTTGCCAACATGATCAAGTGAGGAGATTGCTTTTATTGCTTTGCGATGCTGTTTCTCGATGTCTACATTATATAACGTGTATTCTCTACCCGAAGCAACCCATCATTATAACGATCTTTTTCATCTCTAACTGCGTCCATTTTGGGAGAGGGGGGGGGGGGGGCAATACCGTATTTTTGATGTCAATCAAAGAGCCGGTGTCCTTCATTTTATCGCGCCACTCTTATTAGCCTTCTGTTTTTACTGTTTTGACTGTAATACTTCCCCACGCTTCCCTCTCCATGTGTCTCCACTATGGGCGACAAGCAAATATTCAGAGAATATTGTCATGTAGTCAAGATCACACACTTCCTGATACTAAAAAACAAGGAATATGACCCACCCAAATGGCCAGATCACTACCAATTTGTCAATAACTACACTCCAGCACTAATTTTGCAAGCAACAACCAGATCCAAAGCTTTAAAGACTGACCAGACTGTGCGCGATTCTTACTTTTTTTTTTCTTTTCATTCAAACGACACTTATACATCTGCTTCACAGAATGACGTGTCACTTCCGCCATCTTTGCTTATGGTTCTGCGGATGTGCAGGTCCCTCCTGGAGTTGGCCAATCAAAGCCTTTCGCAGGAAAAGCTGAACGAGCTGATCGCCTCCATGTTTCACGAGGCAGGTCTCCAGAACAAGATGACCATCACTCTGGACGACTTCCAGGAGCTTCTCAAAAGCCACAAAGAACAGCTCGGCTACACGCAGCTCAACTTTGACGGTTAGGGCCCTTTAATATTAAGTTTAATCTCTAACACATGGTAACCTTATTTTATATGTTAGATAATGCATTCGAACAGTTTACTTTGTTAACAAGGCCAATACGTCTGCTTTTTTTTTTTCCAGTGAGGATGAGTGTTTCCCTAAACGCCATCTGCTAGAAATTTTGAGAATGTGAAGCGGCAAAATTGTATGTGTTGCGATTTCATAGTTGCAGATCGGAGCACTGTAGGCATGGCGAATATGCTGCAGTTTTAGTAGGTGAAGCAGACAATACGTCTTAGCTTATTTCAATATAAAAAATTTATACTTCAAACTTCTAATTTCTGAATGGTGAAGCAATGAGTTTCAACACGAAACTTATTATATTTTATTATTGGCTATGTCACAATGAAGTTTTAATTATGCCGCCCACATGTGTTAATAACCGGTTAAGTTCAACTGCAGGGACCCCATTAAACGATTTCTTAACCTTACGATTTTAAACTTTCTTAAACGCTCAGTAAATCATCAAAATCAATGAACAGACCTTTTATTTAAAAAAAAAAATTCGAGTTCATCTTTACTATTGTGAAGTAGTGCAAAGTACTATATATTCGACAACTAACTTGACCTCTTTTCTTATGGCCGTGCAGTTGCTTCGTTTCGGGGACCAGCGCCTGCTGCGTTGAACAGAAACAGTGTCGTGTACAGGGCACAAAACACGTTGGTTCGTGCATACAGGTGACTTATTTGCATATTTACTTTTGTCATAATCCGGTATTGTGATCGAACACATGAGACAAACGTGAACATCACCTGTCAAATTATTACATTATAACTATGGAGACTGTGACATATGCTATGTTAAAGTCGAATTAAAAGTAGTACTAGTGGAAATGCTTATACATGAAAAGTTAGTAAACCTTCAAATTCAGAAACATCCTTTTTTTCGCTATGGATTTTAATCTACAGTCGCTTGGCGGTAGCTGTGCATGGCCAGAGTCATAACCGATCTTCACTTGTTATTTCCTCCTACTCCGGTCACTTCACTGTATCACTGTAACAAGGCAGAGTACCGCCTTTTTAGACACTCCAATATCGTTATTTACGACACTTTTTTTTTTGTACGTTCACCAACTTTATAGCTGAACCTCGGTGAGACATCAGAAGGTCAGAAATTGCAGGCCTATTCTGGCGTCTAGAGTGCTGAGGTTATTTGTGCGGTTATTTCTAGATCTTGTTCATATAAAAAAATACAGAAGATGAAAGTAAACCAATGGTTCAATTTTCTATTCTCAATGCTTAGTTATGTGCATAAGGCGAAGTACCGAATTCTACGTTCCGTGAACGAAACCCTTTACCGCGTTGCGTAAGTCGACTAGCTTAATCGCAGTCAAATAACAAAAAGTAATTAGTAACATTTCAAACGTACACGTGACGAGGATGAAGAAAAAATGTTGCGAAACATGTGTGGCAGCAAACACACGTAAGGTTATAAATTCAAAATAAAACAAGAAAGGCCAACAAATTGGACACTCTTGATGCACTTCTTCACGCTAGTGCTGTCGGTTACGTGGTAGAGCCACTACCAGTGCATTAGGTTACGACAAAGTGTCTCCATATAAAGCAAAGAGCATTCGTATAGTCAGTTACAGGTCAAGAAGGTAGCGGCAAATGCCCCTCAAAGGGAATCATATATCCCTCCGCCACCTTTGCATCCAATAGCGTCCCACCGTTTCCGTGACGTCGCGGACAACGCGCGAGGAGGGTCTTGCCTTTCTGTACATATTTAGTTTATCTTTCGATTTTGACTTAGCATTGTGGAAGCCACGAGAGGGAGATTAGAGTTCTCCCCCACCGACGGAAACAAATACGACTTTCGGGGATTAGCTTCCCCCCCGATGGATACAAAGGCTGCTTTCAGGAGCTCGGTTCCCTCTCCGATGAATACAAAGGTCGCTTTCTTAAAAAGTGGGATCGGAGACAAGTGGGAGTCCATTGAAGCGGAACAAGGAGCGTTTCCAGTGAACTCTTCTTTTTACTGCGGAGAGATTTGAAACGGGCGCATCACACTTGTGGGAGGAGCTTCTCCTACCTTCTTGACTTGTAACCTACTATAGTGTGGTGATAACTCGGCCATTTTACCGCCCAATTGTTTTCTTCTTACAAAGTGCGCGTGTTCTAACGTCCCTAGGGGCGACCGCGTTGCTTAAAAATGAATACGTTATATTTTACATAAATTTCAAAACAATGGTGTTTAACGACTGTCACTGAGCATTTCTTTAATAGAGGAACCTCATTAGCACAGCAGCCATATTCTGTGTGGGCGGATCTTAGCTCTTTTTTGTGGACGGAGACCCTCCCCCAAATCGTACGTCGCAACAAACTGCCGAGCGTCAAACACCAATCTCTGACTGCGAACAATATAAATTCCACTGGTTGGAGGAATCCTCCAAACAATACTGCACTTAGCCTGCGGTTTAGCGCTGCCAGACGTGGAGAACTTGGTCACGTGTCCCTCTCTGGATACTAGATTGGAGCACATAGCTCGCAGCCTTCACCATAGTCCACCTTAAGCCGCTGTCACATTGCTCACTCAAAAGACGCGGAGTTTCTCTGCAAAATCCATGACAGAATTATCTGCGGAAACGCCTCAGGCATGTTCGAATTAAGCGGGTTTGCTTTGTATATCTGTGCGCTTTGAACATGTCTACAGACAGTTTTTGAATGACCAGTGTGACACGACGTTATAGGAGGAAGAAGCGCGTCTCAGACAACGTCTGAAAGCTCGCTTTTGTATGAAGTATACAGTGTGGCCGCGATCTAAGTAGAAGAAAATTGGAGCCCAACATCATTCCATCGTTTCGCCTATTCAGCTACTTCGGCGGCAAGAGTGATGGCCAGACGGCGGCGGCAGCTTTGGCCGCTGAAGCGACGGGACAGCAGGCGAGCAGCAGGGTGCGCGCGGAACCACTGGCCGTGCAACGGAAGGTCAACTACGACCAGGACACGGCCTCGAGGTACCTGGTGGCCCTGGAGAAGTTCGTCGAGAACCACAGGCTCGACATCTTCTGGCTGGTCCTGTACACGCTCGTGCTGCTTGCCATCTTCTCCGAGAGGGCCTACTGTGAGTCAAATAATGGGCGCCATGCTTTTTTTTTTTTTTTTTTTTTCTGGCCATATGAACCATCTTCTAAATAATAAGGCCGTAGTGCTTGGTTCTCTACATCACCTACCACAGTCCTGCGCGGAGCACAGAATCGACACGAGGGTTGCTTCAGTGCTCGGCTGGGATACCTTACAGTCAGTGTATATATTGTCTTTGTTATCAAAAAGAACACACTAGAGAAAAAAAGGGGATGCGAGTCAGCCATGGAGGGGGGTATACTCGTCGTCTTGTAGGGATGGAGAGATAAACAGGGATGGGCAAAGGTATTAGGAGGTGGTGATGGGGACGTAGTGCTATACATATCAGTCAGTAATGTGGTGGGGGCCATAGGTCGTATTCCCTCCCCTGTCCAAATCCCAGCCCATATGCGCTTTCCTCATAAGAGCCCCGACTTCGCCCAGCCGAGGCTTCATCGAGGACCGAGCGCAAAAGGCCCGGCCGGCCAACAGCAGAACATCACCCCCACTTTCGCCCATCATAGAGTACACTGTCGGGGTGAGCTATTGACTATTTCGGCTACACAGATGAACTGAGCAAAGTCAGAGCAAAATGTCAGAGGCAGAGCCCGGACGCGTGCTTTATTGCCTCTAGAAAGTCGATTGCGGTCTTAGGCACGTTAGTCCTCTCCGCCCGGGAGTTCGTCGTAAAGAGTAGAGTGTAAGAAACTCGTGGAGACCCATGAAGCGACCTCCATGTGTTTATGAACGTTGCCCATTCTGTACCTAGCGCGTGGCAGTCCCAGGTGGTGTATTGCGTATATTCGGTGGAGTGACGTGAATTGCATTGTGATGATTTTAGTTTTCCGATGAGATGGAGTCGCTTCTTAGTAGATGAGCGGTTGGCTCGTAACCGGTGTAGAAAGTCCCTACAGTCAGTGAGGACATGCGTTCCAGCAGGGACTCAGCCAGCGCTAACGTCCAAACAGAGGATAGGTGACCGAGTGGGCTAGCGCAAACCAGCTCGGAGCACGCAAAGCGAAAGCTCGCGCTATTCAATCCCCACCCCTGCCCGTTTCGATCTGGATGAGCATCATCCATGGAGCTCATCTACAGCTGAGACACCAGAAGCCCACTGACGCAGACTAAGTTCCCGCTGTATGCGGAGCGCAAGTTCTGCTTCTTGTGCAGGAGTTGCGATGATGGCAGAACGCTGAGCTTTTATTGACTGATTAAAAGAAACAGTAAGTAGACCTCAAGGCATCTAGCATTGAGGTCTAACCACTATCCTTTCAATCAAAGCCAGTCAGAGCTCGGAGTCGTCCTGAAGTCACTGAAACTCGTGCGCAAGAAGCAGACAACTTGCACTTCGCATAAACATACAAACAACGTTATTACTCTTATTTTACGTCCGATCTGTGCTCCACGACGGGCCCCAATAGGGGGCGGAAATAACCCAGCAGAACGGTCTTGTCGTCAAGGGGGTGTTGGTCCCTCATTGCCCGTTTCTTGCAGACTATTCGGTGGAGCGTGAGCACGGAGGCCTCCGGCAGATCGCGGGCTACGGTGTGACGATTACCCGCGGCGCAGCCAGCGCCCAGATGTTCACCTACTCGACGCTGCTGCTCACCATGTGCCGAAACAGCATTACTTTTCTCAGGGACACCTTCTTGCACCGCTACGTCCCGTTCGATTCGGCCATTCCCATGCACCTCTACGTGGCCATCTGGGCCGGGATCTTCTCAGGTAGGCCCGTTGACGGGGGCATATCCATTCTCATTATACGTCACCGGCAGTCAGGTGATGTCAATGGTCTCCCGCGACATTACGGATTTTCATCACGTTCTTCTTAAAGAGACAACCCGCGCATGAGGGCAGTTCTTGGTTTATCGGACATTTAGAGTCGGTAGATCAAGCAATTGGCACAAAAAGAAGGTGAACTCACAGGCATGTTCAGCGGTTCTTTAATGACAGCGTACTAGTGAAAGGGTTGTGCCGATCATTCTTTACCGGCGGGTTCTCGTTTACCGCAGTTATCCACAGCGTGGGTCACGCCTTCAACTTCTACCACATCGCAACGCAGACGGCGGACGATCTCACCTGCCTCTTCAGGGAGTACTTCCACGCGTAAGAACGGCCTTCGATTTTTTTAATCAATTACTACGGTCACAGACATATTAAAAAAAAAAAAAAAGAGGTGGGGCGTGGCTTATCATTTGTTCACGATCCTCGATTCGTGATTGACTCTTCGGCGTTTTTCTCGACTGATGCCGCAATCTTATTGGCCGAGGAGCGTTAATCAGATGACGAGGACTCGCCAAGCCCCACGTTTTTTTAGGTGTCACGTGACTGTAATTAAGTTTGAGCTACACTCTAAGGAATGCCTGCGCGTCTACTTATTCGCAAAACACCCAAAGAGCCAATCTCTGCGATCAACCAAATCAACTTAGCGAATGATGAGGCGGAACATCTGTTTAGACCTTAAAATGAAGTCTGCGCTGTGGCATTACGAATGGAAGCATGAAGCTTTGCATTGCGTAATGCCACAGCGCAGACTTCATTTTTAGGTCTAAACGGATGTTCTGCCTCATCGTTCGCTGAGCTAATTACGTAGATCGCAGAGATTGGCTCTTGGAATGTTTTGCAAGTAAGTAGACGAGCAGGCATTTTTTAGAATGTAAGTATTCCATACCGTTTTCAAAGAGATACGGATTAGCGTCTTGAGAAACAATCTGCTACAGTCGTAGCGTAGTTTGCAAAACGGTCATACAATACAAAAAAAAAATCGTCAGCGGCATGTAGCTAAAAGCATCACGTAGATGTAACTGGAAAAAAGAATTACCGTATATAGCTCGGACTGTGATCAGGTTCGTCTATATACAAATCTATGACTTGTAATGTAGTGTCTCAAGTTCACCTTGGTCCGAAAAACGTGGTATTTTTAAAGTCCTGGATATCTATCAAAATCACTGCATACTGCGTGCGGAAGTTAGAGTAAACATGATCTTGGCGGTTACTTGTATTTTACTACACTTGTTGAACTCAGAAAATTAGCGCCTAGATTACTATAGGTCAGCAGCTTTGATCAATCCGTTCATACCTTAAGTTCTATCCCTTACCTCAACGTTCATTTTGCTGCCGCTGAAGACGTAACGATGCATTATGCCGAGCAGCAATCAGAAAGCACGTGTTTAACATGAACATTCTTCGTTCTTTTTTTTTTTTTTTAGGTATCGCTAATTATTATTCTTTTTTACTTTATCGTTGTTGTTTCTTTTTATACAGAACCGACGAGCTTCCCAAGTTCCATTACTGGTGCTTTGCTACGATGACAGGTAACGTCGTTATTCATATTGTTTCTTAAATAATCAAAATAATTATTGAACCGTTTAAAAGTGGCGTAAATTATGGTCAGCTGATAGACGGTAATTAAGAAAATTGCGTTTCTCCCTGTGCCAGTTCATACGTTTATGAATATGAATTTAAAGGAACGAAGAAGATATATAGTACAGTGGATCAATCTTAATGGTAAGCGACGCGAGATCGAAACCTATTTGAAGTAAAGATATACCTTGAGATATTATTATTTTACTTTGTTCATTTACTTTATACTTGGAGCAACCGTTTATAAGGCAAGGCGGTAAAAGGTTCGAGCGCCGTACCTTCGCGTATTTTGAGGGCCAATCAATGAAGTACATGCGCAATATTCATTTAATTTCATTTCATCTATTTGCTCCTTAAGGGCCCTTTTTCGAAGGCATTATGTAAGGAAAGGGCAATACAATAAATAATACAATCCATTGAAGCAAATAACAAATGCAGCAGAAAGCTACCTCCAGGACAGTGCCGTTGGCTTCTGTATCTTGTCGAAGGTGGCTTTCTTGATAACGATTAGTAAGGCCCCCAAACTACGTAAATGAGAAATAGTACTCATGTAGTTTCCCGTGGAGGGGCATCAGATTTGGCAATTAAGGCTGTAAGAAGAACGTTGCGTGTCTGGCATTGACCCTAGCCAGGTAGCATGCCAGCGAAACGCCGAACTTGCAGCTTGGCATTCCCACTGGCGTATCATTGGCCTAATGCGGTTTTGCTCCAAGGCGTTTAGTGCCAGCGTACTTTTCTTTTGTGATTCTATGATTCTTTTTGGTTCGCCAGATAATTGCCGAAGTGCCGGACATGGGCCAAAGGTGCCATGTATGAATCCAAGAAGCAGTAGTGAAGTCGAAATCTGGCACTTGATTGGCAGATTAGGCTCAAAGTTGCCGCATAAAAAAACAAAAACAAAACAAAAAGAAAAACGAACAACCAGAGGTGAAGCCTTACTCTGGCAGTTATTTGGCAATTTAGGGCCAAAGATGCCAGTTGACAGACAAACTACCAGCAATAGGAAGGCTAACTTTGTCACTTATTTGGAGAATTAGGCCCAAGGTTCCCCAGACTATGGCCAAGAAAGGTCAAGTTTGGCTCTAATTCGGTCTCTTCGGGCTTTTCAAGGGCCTGAATTCCTGGACAAAAGGAATATATTTTGGTCCACATTACTGTGCTACCTGGGTATAACTTTCCTGGACCTCTAGGTCTCACCGGAGTGTTCCTGCTCATGCTGCTGGCCGTGATGTACGTGTTCGCGACGCCCTACGCCCGGAGGCACGTCTTCAACGCCTTTTGGAACACGCACAACCTATACCCGGTCTTCTACATCCTGATGATCCTGCACGGACTTGGCCGCCTGGTGCAGCCTCCCATCTTCTACTACTTCCTCCTGGGACCGCTCGTCCTATACGTGCTCGACAGGCTTGTGTCCCTCAGTAGGAAGAAAGTGGAGATCTCGGTCATCCGCGCTGAACACCTTCCTTCTGGTCAGTGCCACAAGGTCGACCTTTTATAAACGTCTGGACAGCGCGGTAAAGGCACCTGCAGATCATTATGATCATCGCCAATAATAAGGACTCGCGTATTTAAGCTCAAGCCAACGTTATTAGATCAGCTCAGTTACGTTACTGCCCATAGACACCTTACCACCTTACCCCAAGGTCCGTTCGACGCACCACCGTTTCTGGAAACCTGTGTAACTCTAGCTACCATAGCAGCCGTCCTGGCGGCTATGATAGCTAGAGTTACACAGGTTTTATGGCACAGCGTCTATCGCGCCTCACTGTAGCGTTCACGAAGAATGCAGTTTCGAAATGCAGTCTCTGGATGGCGTTTCAAACGAGGGGGGGGGGGGGGGGGGGGGGGGCTACGGGTGACGGTCTTGAGCGGGAGAGGATGGGCTACCCCTTCTTCTCGGGGGGTTCCACAACTGAGTTGATCTAATAAAGTTAGATCAAGCTATACCTGACTAGCGCAGACGTCACACCAGCTTCGGTTGTGAAGGATTCTGTTACTGCAAGCGTAAATTCTGCAAAATGTATTTCGCACCACCGATTTTTTTTTTGTCATGAGTAAGTAGGAACGACCTGGTTGTTCCTAGTTAAAGGGCGATTCACACACTTGCGTTGAGACGAACAGACTGCGAGGGTTGCTATGGCAACAGCTGCGCCGGCTCCAACAAAACGGAGCCCACGCAGCTGTTGCCATAGCAACCCGTCCGCCGCAAGCCGTTCCAGCTGCACTCGATCGGATTCGACGCAAGTGTTGAATCACCCTTTATTCTAGGGTCTCGACAGATTCAGCGGGTGGTTGCGAACCGGCTGGGGAACTTGAAAAAAAAAAATAATACGAACTTGGCTTTTCTTAATTTTCGTTGATGAAAACAAAGTACAGGCAGCATCTCAATATCGAGCCGGAACTGAGAGTTGCGTTGTCCAAACTCCGCCCTCGTTTTGAGAAACTGTGCTCTAACGAACAAGCTCACCTTAGTCCCGGCGAAGGGTCAGCTTGAACCTTCAGAAACTAAGAAAGGGCAGAACAGACAAAACAGCTCTTTTCTGATCCGTTCTTTCTTCGCTCCTTTCTGTAAGTTTAAGCTGACCCTTCACCAATATGTTCCAAATAGCTCAACTGAAGTCTGTAACCATGTTCACTTTAGTCTTTAGAAACTATTATTCCCTCTGGCGTGTGCTTCATCTTTTTTTAGCAATGATTTCTAGTTTAGTTGCTTTACTTTGGCCGTATTCACTCTCACATAAGGTTTCATCTTCAATTTTGTGCATCACTGTTCATGCATTAGAATCAAAAAGCTTGCGGCATTGCAAAAAGTCGAAGAGGGAGTGAGGGACGCGACGCATTATTTGCTATTTTTTATGGGTAGCAGAGTAGTAGAGTTTGGAAAGCGCTTCCTTATAGTCTCGTCCTTCTTTCTGTTCTGCTGTTATTTATAGACAACAGCCACATAGGAACTGAGTAATTCAAAGCGTTACTCATCTTTCTGTAGATGTAACCATGCTGCTGATGAAACGCCCGTCGAGCTTCGAGTACCGGAGCGGCCAGTGGGTTCGCATCGCCTGCCTGGGGCTCAACGGCTCGGAGTATCACCCATTCACCCTATCCTCGGCACCTCACGAGGACAACTTGAGCGTTCACGTCAGGGCCTTGGGTCCCTGGACCATCAACCTGCGAACAATCTACGACCCCAGCAACCTGCCAGACAGCCCATATCCGAAGGTTCGAGAGTCACGTCAAATTTAGTGCACTGGGAATGTGTGATCTTAAATAATGAATGTAAAGAAAGTTCAAGAAAATGGCCTACATTTAGCAAGGACACGCAGAAACCTTGTAAAAACAATGCTAACCCTAGTATATTCGAGGAAGTAAATGTTTTTATGAACCATCGGTCGTCTAGGTAATTCATTTCCGGTCTTTAGTTTCACCACCCGGCCCGGTGCCTACCCTGGAGTACCTAAAGCCGGGATAACACTGCTTAGACATCAGACAAAAGACAGTCTGCGCACATATTCGAAGGTGAGTCACCGCGAAATCCGCGTTTCGAATGTCGCATGGCAAGGTGTTCAAGCAGAGACTTAGCAAGCGGCATTCGAATCACGAATATTGTGGTGACCCGTGTTTGCAAATTGTCTTTTCTATGACGTATGAGGAGTGCTACCCGGCTTCAGACTTCGAAAAATAACTTCAAGAAAAAATTTCAAATGTCGACTTTCTCCTACTGAGGAGTTCTGCAGAAACACAGCTCTACCGCACCATTCTCGAATAACTGTGAAGTTTTTGTATTCTTCTTATCGTACTCCGAATGGGAGTGATTCATCAGAACATGCAATTCGTCCTAGTACTGCACCACCACTGCATGATGGGCATCATTGTGTCCTGTATATTCTAAACCTCGAAATCTTATTCACCAGCAAAGACCAGCTGAATGTCCGTCGCTTGTTCACAGATCTACCTCGATGGTCCCTACGGCGGCGGCCACCAGGACTGGTTCCGGTTCGAAGTGTCCGTGTTGGTCGGCGGAGGCATCGGTGTGACGCCGTTCGCCTCGATCCTCAAGGATATCGCCTACAGGGCGTCCTCGAGGGCCAGGGTGTCCTGTAAGAAGGTCTACTTCATCTGGGTGACGCGTACCCAGAAGCACTTCGAGTGGATGACCGACATCATACGCGAAGTGGAGGAGAAAGACGGTCGAGGTCTCGTCAACGTGCACATCTTCATCACGCAGTTCTACCACAAGTTCGATCTGAGGACGACCATGTTGGTGAGACGTGGCCCAAAGCCGTTGTCGCGCTGATAATTCATCATACAAAAAACAGACAGCAGACAGTGTCCAAGGCGTGTCTCTTCCTTGTGTCCCGTCACATAGGTCATAGCAAAAACTCTCTGCAAACAACTTCGAAACGTACATATTTATGACGCAAACACGCTTCTAACAGCCGTGAAGCGAGTTCGCAGACAATTCTGTCACCATGTCTGCAGAGAAACTCCGTGCATTTTGTACAAGGTACGAGCAGAGGGACTGTGGTTAACGGTAGTGTTTACACTCCGGACCGCCGCAATCTTTGGCAGGTTGTTGGACAGCTCTTTTGCCTTATATGGTATTAACTGTGTTACAGATGCTAGAAACCCCGAGTCGTATAAGTCGCAATTCACTCACCGAACTTACCACAAATTTCAATTCTGCTTTGTGTATGGTCAGGTTCATATGTAATTTACGCAGATATGATCGATCCTTTCAAGGATACATCGATCCCTGTAAGGATCGATGTATACACACCGATCCTTTCGAGAAATTAAATAAATATATGTATGTGAGGATAATAAAAAAAATAGACCTCTGCCAACCTTTGAAACAAATTGCGTTCACAAGTGTTTCGTTATCACGTTGAGTCACGTGGTCGTGTCACAGACATGAAAATATTCCCGTTGGATTTAACAAAAAAAAAAAATTCGCCCGCTAATTTTAGCTAAAAATGGATGTACACTTCGTCCGTGATGCTACATCATAGATTGTGTACCGTCACGTCCGTGATGCTACACAATCTATGATGTTCCATTTGTCGGTGATTTTATATCTGTTCGTAATGGTACGTCTCGTTTGTGACGTCACATATCCCATTTTGAAATCTCGCTCTGATAAAACTGTAGTACAGCTTTTTTTTATTTCGTCTGCTAACGAGTGATGACAGTAACTGGGCTCGTGTTTTGTGCAGTACATCTGCGAGCGCCATTTCCAGCGGATTTCGAACCGAAGCCTTTTCACTGGACTTCGAGCAATCACGCATTTCGGCAGGCCGGACTTCGCTGGATTCTTCGACACCCTCCAACTAGAACATCCAACGGTAAGATCCGGTTTCCTTTATTCGAGTCTCCTGTAAGAACCGATACAGCGGTGCAACTTTTGCTTATATTATGCCCAATTATAGTCACGCAAACTTGTAGCAATTATTTCGTTCGAACAACCCCCAGGAAGCCACAATGCCATTACGGTATTGCTCATTTCTTTTCCCTGGAAAAGCACGGCGGCTACAGCCTGATTGTACATACATGTACTCTTTACCTTTTTTTTTTTTTTTTTTTTTTAATTTGCACTAGAAATTTAAAACTTTTCGTATCAATGACGCAAACTTACAACTTGTTGTGCTGTCACTTTAGACACGCTTACGCGGGCAATTAAAAACAAAGTTGACGACGTAGTCAATTCATAATCACGTGTAAATCTAACTGCAACGCTTCTACTTACTGTTTCCTGAAGCTGGGCCATCGGGGACATTGCCCCAAAAAAAGACATCTGACAGTTTTTTTTTTGTATTTCTTTTAACGGAAGCATTAAGCCATGTAAAATGGCCATGAATACTACCAATAAAGGCACCACAATTTAAAATAGAAAACAACGTGTATGCAACTAAAACGATCAGAGCGTTAAAGGATCCATCCTCAAACCCCGTCTCTCAGACATTGAAGCACAGCGAAATGGCTCAGCCTCCTTCCCATTTATGAGCAGTCCGATAACCAGGTTGTTCTAACCACGAGTTCTCGGGGGTCTCCCTTTGAGTTAATGAAAGAAAAAAAAATTAAGAACTTGAGCTGAATTCTCTGTCAAGGACAACGTAAGAGAATACTATGAGACGCGGTACATTTACGTTTATTGACCAGGCGCCAGGACGTGCTTCGTGCCAAGATTACAGTTGCCTTTGCCACTACGCACTTCTAAATGCGACCGGTTCTGAGATAGCGATAGACAGGATTTATTATTCGCCTTGCCTCGCGGAACTAGCTGGATTAAATGTCCTCGCAATAAATGCATTTTTCGCCATTACATAACTGCTTCTTGCACAGGCAGCTAACTTCAGGTTATGTAGCATTGAGGTGTACCCACCATCCTTTCAATCAAAGCCAATCAAAGTTCGGCGTCGTTCTGACGTCACCGCAGCTCCCACGCAAGAAGCAGACGATTTGCTCTCCGCATAGCCAGCTGGCAACAGCCAGGTGGCGCCGGCGGAGTGAGAGCCCACGGTCGTACCCTGTCTCGTTGTAACTTGGCAAAGGGTGCATGATGGCACCCGCATAGCGTGCCAACGGCTTCGAAATGCACGACGTATACGAGTGCAACGCACACATATTGGAGCATGACGCAGCAAAAAGCCTGATACTTCTTCGCAGTAGAGGCGCGCTCCGGTGATACGCAGTCATATTCCCATTGGCCCGCCAGGACTGTAGCTTCCGCTGTACTGGCATGCTACGCGGTCATGGCTTCCTGGGATGCCCAGTATTTCTTGCTTCAGACACTAGGCTAAGCGGCGCCACCAGAGTAATAGTTCACATTTGAACAATGCAGCCGTCACTCCCAGGGATACCCAATATTTCCCGCTTCAGTCGCTAGATAGCGCCAAACCCAAACTCCTCACAACCAAGAAAACTTGTATCGAACTTGCGCTGATTAGGAGCGGGCCTTTGGTGGCTGCAAGTACTCCATACTTTGTTTCAACTTAAGTCCATTCGCATACGAGGCTAGGAGCTGACGGGAACAACCAGGCAGCCTCAACAGTGCACCATCACGATTTTCGTCACGTTTCTGTAAAAGTGCTCTATTATCGCTCAACCCATAAAAAACAAAACAAAATAGGCTTATTGACACGCGGTTTTGACGCCGCTTGATCGGTCTCCTTACCTCGCAGCGTCATCTGCGTCTGGACTCGAGCTGAAACGAAGTGTAAAATAACGGAATCTCAAAGTTGTTTGTTGTTTTTCCCTTCTTTCTCGTTTATCGATCAGGTGTCCCGCTTCGGCGTATTCAGCTGCGGCCCCTTCCAGATGACACGCAGCGTGGAGTCTGCCTGCGAACATCTCAACCGCAAGGAGGGCGCCATCTTTGATCACCACTACGAGAACTTCTAGCACGTGTATGCGCGCCGCTTCTTTTTTATGGATTTGATCGAATGCCGTGGCTTCCGGTGCATTCGCTATGAGATATGCTCAAGTTATAAGGTAACTTCCAAAAGAAGGATCCGGTGCCTTTCAGCAAATTCTAATTGATACATATTCCGTAAAAAAAGGAAAAAAAAATAGAGCATTCAGGGTAAAGACAAGCGAAAAGTAGGACCACGAGAGACAACTCTCTGTTATTTTCGGAAGATATAACAGAGTGTCACAAAAGAAATTTACAGGGTTTTTTTTCACCGAAGAAATAAACTAGGTATCACCAAACGCTCATTCTCCGCCCATTGGTAGAGCCAGAGGTCACAACCAAATGCCAAAGATTCAGCCCTATCCAATATTTTCTTTAAAAGTTTTAAGTGATTTTCTGAAATTTTCAATGGGAAAATAGAGCCCATGTGTTCGAAAGCTCCGTCGGCCGCCATTTTCCCATTAAAATGTTCAGAAAATCACCTATAACTTTTGATTACGTTATCGGATCGGGCTGAAACTTTGGCATTTGGTTGTGACCTCTAGCGCTACGTTTGGGCGGAGAATGAGCGTTTAGCGATGCCTAGTTTATTTTTGCGATAAAAAAAACAAAAAAACATGTAATTTTTTTTTGTGACATCCTGTATATTCCATAGTAAGTGCTGGATATTTTCTGATAATAAAAAGTTCAACAACTTAAAAGTTTCTTTTGGTTAAAACCACTGATCTCAATGACAATTGCTGGATCGCGCTTGCCGCTCCCGCAAGTGAAGCCACCGGACGCAACCCCGCTGGGATACGATTTCCCGTTTTGCTAGCCTTTTGCTGCGGTTTTCCAGCGTGCTGTAGACACGTTTTCTACTCGTTCGTCGTCATTCACCGAGGAAGTTTTTTGAGACTCTGTGTATTGTTGAGACTTGCCGTTGTGAACACGTGGAAAATTTTACGAAAGTGCAGTGTCGCAGGAAAAAGGCACAACGCGTCGAAAGGAAGGGCTGGCGGCGTGTTCAAAGCTTCTTTGGCACGCCGAAGTGCCGTGTCTCTGTGCCTTCGCGCGCTTGGATACCGACCAAGAACCGACGCCGTGTGAATGTGTTTAGCGAGTGCAATGTGCGTGAAGCCGTATCAAAAGGTACAACTCGTCGAAAACGTGTCGCCGGTGTCGCGGCGTGATCAAAGCTTCCCCTTGCCACGCCGAGTGATGCATCTTTGTGCCTTCGCACGCTTGGATACCGGTCAAGAATTGACGCCGCGCCAAAGTTCTGAACGTGTGTCGCGCGTAGATGCCTTTAGATCATTTTTATATATCGGCCACGGAGTTCTGGATCGTCCAGCTGTTCCGGTGAGTTGCTATCAATAAAAGGGGGAGATCTGTACGTGTTCATATGTACTATATTAACCATGGCTATGTCCCAAATCTACTCTAATAGATTCCGTGGGAGCACGAATAGGGCAACGTTGTGGAGCCAGGGGGGTTTTTGAAAGCAAAAGTACAAGACGGCGAGAATGAAAATCTTTGAAGCGCGGCCGATATGGTCGTGTGCAATCTGTTGACCAATTACAATTAGGCGAGCCGCGCTCAAACGTCAAGTGCAATTAAGTAGGTTGATAATAAGCCAGCACTGATCAGTGATGAGGAGCTGTTGTGCACGGTATTGTGTAAATCGTCTAAGGACGAAAAAAAGACGTACCTTCTTCCCATCTTCCGTCGCTAGTGGACGCTGGATTAAGCTCGTTCCTAAACCGCGAGGGGAAAAGACGCTGATCCAGAGGCACGAACAGCTTCACGCACATTGCACTCGCTAAACACATACACACGGCGTCGGTTCTTGGTCGGTATCCTAGCGTGCGAAGGCACAGAGACACGGCACTTCGGCGTGCCAAGGAAGCTTTGAACACGCCGCCAGCCCTTCCTTTCGACACGTTGTGCCTTTTTCCTGCGACACTGCACTTTCGTAAAATTTTCCACGTGTTCACAACGGCAAGTGTCAACAATACACAGAGTCTTCGAAAAACTTCTTCGGCGAATGACGACGAACGAGTAGAAAACGTGTCTACAACACGCTGGAAAACCGCAGCAAAGGCTAACAAAAACGGCAAATCGTATCCCAAGCGAGTGAAGTCCGGTGGCTTCACTTGCGCTGCAGCGAACAAGCGGGGAAGCGCGATCCAGCAATTGTCATTGAGATCAGTGGTTCAAACAACACGTCGTCCTTTTTCTACATTCGAAATAGGACGGCACTATCTAACGCAATGCGATTCGGAAATTCCAATCCAAACTCCCCGCTGACTCTGAACGTATTTTCTGAATAAACTGTACCGCCTTGGTATGCAAGCTCGCGGTAGGGTCCGTGGCCTGCCGTTTTGCACCCATTTCTCCTGGCACTCCTCCCGCTCCCGGCCCTGCTTCAAGACATAGAGGGCATATATCATGCTCTCTACGCAGACGATATCACTGTGTGGACATCGAGAGCAGGGTCGGAGAGTTGGATGGAGGAGACCCTACAGAGAGTGGCAAAGACCGTGCACGAGTTCACTAAGTCGTGCGGCCTCAGTTGCTCGCCACAGAAGTCGGAGCTACTCGTCATCAAGCGAAGAAGAAAGAACGGAGAACAAGAGAACGTCCGCATCACCATCGACGGGGCGAACATAACGACACCCACGCAACCACGTATCATGGGTGTCATCTTCCAGAACAACGGCAAGGCGGGGGCGTCGATCGGCAAGATCAAGGTTTCTTTGGAACAAATTTCGAACATGATCAAAAGAGTCACGAACAGAAGAAGAGGATTCAAGGAGGACAATGCATTGACGCTCGTCCAGGCCTTCGTGACGTCGCGCATCGTTTACGCGGCGCCGTACCTCAAGTTACACAAGAAAGACAGGTACCAGTTGAACATCATTATACGCAAGGCAACCAAGATGACACTGGGCATGCCGAAGCATTCGTCGACCGACAAACTTCTCGGCATGGCCAAGCACAACGTCGTTGAAGAGTTAATAGAAGCTCATTTGTCTAATCAAAGAGTTCGGCTCAGTCAAACTTCGGCGGTACGTCGCGTTCTTGCCAAGTTGGGCTGGCAAAAGGCAGATCGGAAGGAAATTCGGGGCCGCTACCCAAGTTATGGCGCATAAAATCGACAGTAAGCCGTTGCCTCGAAACATGAGGCCGGAGCGTAACGACGGCGCAGAGCGGCTCGTATAGCGGCCTTGACGGAGACTTTAGATCAAATAGAAGAAGAGGAAAAGGGGGTCACTCTGTACACAGACGCTTCGTTACCCAAGCTTTCATCGAAAGCCAGGCTGGCAGTTACGACGCGGGATGTGCTCGTAACCTGCGCCTTCCCAACACGTCTTTTCTGGAGGTGGAGAAGGGGCCGCGATAGCGATAGCACTCGCGCAGCCCAAAGTGGGAAGAACTGTCACTGACTCGCGAAAGGCGTATAAGAGCTACAAAAGGGGGTGGGTGTCTCTTGCGGCACTAGATATTCTCAAGAGTAAACGCGACGTACCTGAAAAGAAAGTTGATATGGACGCCGGCTCACTCTGGGCAGGAGAGCAACGAACTTGCCCACCAGTTCGCCCGAGAGATGGAACACCTTGTAGAGGAAGGTGAGCCACAGTCCATAATTAGTTATAGGGACATTACGAACCATTACAGGACGGAGAGGCGACGTTACTCCGATCCTCAGAAATCGCTTAGCAGAGAACAGCAAGCGATTTACAGGCAGTTACAGGCAGGATCTTTCCCGCACTCTTACCTTCGAAACAAGATGTACCCGGAAAGGTATACCAGAAGGAATGTAACTTCTGCAAGACTCAGTTAGGCACGCTCCAACACGTCATTGGAGTAAGCGATTTCGTCAAGCCAATCCCCCCTCCACTTACCATCCCCACTACCCCACCCCATCCCTCATCCTCCCTTACCGAGCGATGGGAGACCTTGCTACCAGCCCCGCACTGGAAGGCCACCTCGTCCTAATCTCCAGGGGCCAGGCGGCTAGGGAAGCATATGGGATCCGTGAAGAGGGAACCGCTTCCATTGACGGCGTCTAAGAAGACGTCGTAATTAGCTCGGTTCAATAAAGTTGCTTCTCCCTTTCTTATGTAACCCTCACGTCTTTTCGCTATTTTTTTTTTCATTCTAGCTTGCCAGTATAACTACATAAAAAAACGTTCACGAAAAAAACGCCAGGGCTTAAAAGAGCACAGTGAAATATCGGAAACCCACATGTACGCTACCAACACGGCGGCAGACGAAGGGTTCAGCAGCCGCTTGACTTGAACATGCAACGATAGGAATCACCAATGGTAACGTCGGAGGGGCATGTCCGACGTGGTATACCGTATCCGACTCGAAGACTTGCAACCTATACACCATAATGTCCTCAGCCTTGCTTGCCTTTTCTCCTCAGCCTCGCTTTCTACCATCGGCACCGCGCCTCTCGTCACCTTTGCATTTTCATCTCATCGTCAACTTGATCGGACACGGTGGAGCCGAGTGCTTTAAGCGCGCCGCTGCTCGGAGCACTTGGAGTGAAATTTCGCTCTTCAGAACCCATGGCGATCACGGGCTAAATTCCCACCCCTGCTCGTTTCGACCTGGTCAAGCATCGTTCCGGTGTGCGGTCGTGTATCGCTACTGCGTTAATCATCGTGTGCGTGAAGCGGGTTAAAGATCCCAGGCTAGCAGGCTAAATCGCTCATCTACAGCAGAGACAGCAAACGCCCAAATGGCACTGACTAAAACCAGATTCAGATGGTACGATTTTTGCTCGCGATTTTTCGGCTCTGGCGTCGAGCAGCCCAACCTCTATGACTCATGTTTTTTAATGCGAAAGCGTTCACTGGTCCCATGGAGCGGAGCCGGCGTTTTTCGTAACCGCGACAAACCGCAGAGAAATTCCCTCTGAGGGAATGGCTCTTAAGGTCCAACCCCACCTTGCATGACGTCTTGGTGCTTTTTTGACGGTTTATAACTTCCTCTTTATGTATCCTACAATTATAAATTTAATGTGAAATAAAATAGCTGTTTTTCAACAATACTTTAATGTCTCGATATTACAATTATTTTTAGTTGTTATTTAATTATTCAGCCATTAAAATACCACAAAAATATTTCTCGAGTTATAACGTCCTATTGCCCACGATATTTTATGTGAGCGTTCGGTTAGATATAATGAAGTAAAAGAGTAAGCAACGAACTGTACAGAAAATATATATTTTAAAATAAAGAAATAAAGTTTAAAATGGTATTATTTTATG